TTCTCCAATGTATAGCAAGCGACAGTCTTACAAAACTTATATTTAGCTTTTTCTTCACTGCTCGCATTAGGAGGTAAACCAATATTAGTTCTTTTTTCGCTTTTACTTACTCTCCTAACCACTCTTTCGAATTCCTCTTGAGGCGGAAATACTGAATTATTTTTTACCATAATATTATAATAGTTTTAAACAATTTTAGAAAAAAACTGATACTTATACCCTTTCATTAGCAAAAAACCAACCACCAAATTCGGCTGAATTAGTTCTTTTTTGTCCCGGAAATAACCATCCATGAAAAAGAAACCTGGATTTTGCCATTTATCCAAGTAATTAACTCGGTAATGATTAGCCCTTTTGGTGGCTTGCTTGCTGGTTATCAGTATATTTTCTAATTTAAGAAGTTTATAAGGAATTTTGCTTGTAATTTGCTCGGTTTTTGGGCTTTCAGTAGATTTTATATTAATAACTTGTTTTTGCTCGGCTTTTTCCGCATTATTTCCTTTTAAATCAATTTCAAAGAAAAATTTTTTAAGTATTGCGGCCAATTCCTCAATATTTTTTAATTTTCAGAACCAAGACCCGTTATTTACTCATTCCTTAAATTGGCTACTTACCCCTTGAACCTGCCGACCTTTGCTTAATATGCTACCGACATTTCTTTTAATGCCTCGCCAACTATCGCGGTGAAATATTTCACAATTAGGGCTTAATTCCTCAAAAAGTAAATAAACTTGATAACCATGTTGAGTTTTGACATAACTAAACCGATAAATTTTGGCTATTCATTCGAAATTTGTTCTTATTTGTTTCTGTAATCAAAAAGGTAATTTTTGGGCCAGGTGAGTAATGTCAACATCCCAGACCTCAAAAAATAATCTGCCTCGTCTCGTCCCTGTTCTTTCTCCGTGTTCTCCATACTTCCTAACCAATTCCTCAATGCGGCGGTGTTCCTTAATTGTCGGTCAATCGCTCCCTGTTGGATACTGCGGCCTTTTTTCTTTGGTGGCCAACCTAACCCCTTTTCTATCCCCCCCC